CTCTGCTCATCCTCCCCGTTTTGTGCCCACTCCTCTGCACGGGGACAAGACCCACATCACCATGTCCCAGCCCGGGCTCAGCTCTGAGCTCCCTCCTGCAGGTTTTGGATGCATTTCAGTGGCTGGTCCTGTATGTGTGGTCCCCATCCCTCAAATCCCTGTCCCCAGGCACCCTTTGGCAGAACGTGTTTGCATCCCCAAGCTGGCAGCACCGTAGCAGCCTCCTGAGGGGAACAGGCTGAGTTTTGGAAGCCTGAAGGCTCCTCCCACGGCTGCTGGTGAGATGCCAGCACTGCTGAAAGTCTCAGTGCCCTATATAGGTGCTGATATGCAGACGAAGCACCTAAGCTAAGGATTCCTGCACTCAAAACACAGATTTGGGCTTTTGCTCTATTTTAGATCGCTCATTTCCATCAGGTCCCATCAGGCCATGGGGATTAGCCCCTTCCTCCTCCCCTGGTGAAGGTTTTTCTGTTGCTCTAAGAGCAGGATGCTGCCACCAGGCACTGGGTGATGTGGGGCTGTGGCACAGGGGGGTCTTGCAGCCCTATCTCCAAGCTCATGCTTCCTCTGCAAGGCTCAGCACCGCAGGGACTCATTGAGCTCATTAGGAAAGGCAGGGAGATGCCTTAGACCAGCCTCAGCATCTGCAGGGCCTTCCTGCCCAGGAGCCCTGTGCCCAGCCTTGGCAGCACCTACTCCTCTGGGAGAGCCCAAACTTGCTGGAAGGCAATGGCAGGCAGCGTCGGGAGCTGCCGGGCACTGGGCTGTGCGTGTGCTGCAGCGGGAAGTGCTGGGGTTTGGCACCGTGCCTTGTTTGTTTCTAAACTTTATATCCGTTGTGATGTAGATTTTGCAGAGGAATGCCAAGGAAAACCGCCTCTGTGATTCACATCACCTTGATGTGCTGCCTGCTGGGGAGGAGGCAGCCGCGCTCGCCTGCCTGCACGCTGCCTGCCTGCGCGGCATCTCCGGTGCCACTGGTGGGAGGGTTTGTTCGTGTGGCTCCTCTTCAGCTTCAGTGTGTGCTGGAGCAGTCGGGGGCTTTTATGGGCTTCCTCCAGACTGGGGCTGCTTGGAGCTGGAGCCCCATCCCTGGGGTCATCCCTGCTCCGTGCAGGGAGATGGGCAGCCTCATGTATGCAAGCAGGACGCGTGCATCTTCGTCTCCCTTTCCCCTTCCTCTTGCTCGTTCCTCCTCTCCCCCTCTTTGCTTTCTTTTTTCATCTCCTCCCATCTGTCCTTCTCACATCAGGCTATTTTGGGGGGATGAGTTTCTCACTGTCAATATGGTAGGAACCGTGGTGCGTCTCCTGTCTTAGAGGATGAATGCTGCTTTGGGTACCCTTCCCAAGCAATTACATTGCTCAGTTCTTTTTAACCCCCTGCCTTGCCCCTCTCTTGGAGGTGTTTCGAGACTGGAGGCTAAAGGGTACTGAATTTGAGGGCTCTATCCTCTGGGATGCAGGAGAGAGCCATCAGAACTAGTGCCCATTAGCCCTGGGTCTCAAAATGCCTCTGAGACTTGCAAGTGGTCCTTAAGCAGCCTGAAGCCAAGTGTGGTGTTGGGCAGGTCATTACTTGTGCCTCTGTAACTCCCAGGGGCTTTTAGTGAAGGGTTATTTCTTTTCTTGTCTTGGAAATGATGGCTGTAAATTGAATGGGAACTGCAGGACCAGATGTGAATTTTTAATACCTTTCATTTGCCAAAATACCTCCCAGAAAAGGCAGGAGAGAGCAGTGAGGGCGCGGAGCTGGCAGGGAGTTCACTGGGAGGGAGCAGATCTCTGTGAGCTCAGCTTGAGCTGCTGCTGTGCTTTGCTGCTCCCTTCTCCATCTGAGCATCTTGGAGCACTTGAAAGGCCCAGAGAAGCTGTGGCTGCCCCATTCCTGGCAGTGTTCAAGGCCAGGTTGGACACAGGAGCTTGGAGCAAGCTGCTCCAGTGGAAGGGGTCCCTGCCCGTGTCAGGGGTTGGAGCTGGATGAGCTTTAAGGACCCTTCCAACCCAAACCAGTCTGTGAACCACAGGGACGGTATTTAACCTCAAATTATCTACCTGAGGCAGATGGGATAAATGCCACTCAGATCCCACAGCACCCTGGTACATCTGGGGTGCCAGTCAGGAGCTCAGTGTCTTGGTTTAATGGTTAGAGGTCCAGGTGCAGCACTTCTCTCCCAGACCATGGACTCTGGACAGGAGCTAAGGTCGGGCTCAGTGCCTGTGGTGTCTTTATCTCCCATGGGAGGAATGAGATGAGTTGAGGTTCATCTGCACAGGGATGCTCAGGGAAGCAGATCTGGATGAAATAAGAAAGTGAATTTTAAGTAGATTATCTCAAAGATATTAAAAGCCAGCGTAACCTCTGTGGCTCGGTTAAATAGCTTTAATTCTGTGTATTGTAAATCTGCTCTTTCCTTCCAAGGGAGACTGTGCACAAAAGGGTTCGTGCCGTTGTGCTAATCCTCTCTAGCAGGAAAGCTGGAGTAACTGCCAGGTAAGTGACACTGCAGACAAGTGCACAAAGGCTGGGGTGGAGCTGATGAGGAGCACTGAAGGGAGGATGCTTGTGCAGCCCCTCTGGAGCTGGGGTTGGCAGTGCTGCTCAGGCTTGCACTTCTACAAAGTTTTTGTTGCCAGGAAAGCAGCTGTTTTTAGGTGAGATTTGGGGTGATTTTTAGCTTTCTTCAAAGAAATGTCTCATTTTCTCAGCAATCAGAGTGTTTATGAGAATTTGGGTGCCTGGTGGGGAGAAGGAGAGGCTTCAGTGCAGCATCTCAGGGTTGCTTCTTCCCCCTCCGATCAGCTCATTCATTCGGAAGCCAAGAGCAGCTTTTTATCACATGTACTTCAACCATAGCACAGAGTGGCCAAAGCCGCTGTTGGTGAGGTTTATGGTCTGCCCACCACTTTGAAGTCCCTTTTACTCATGGTGCCTTTTTGTGAGTGTGTGATTAAATGTGCCGTTGCTGGTTGGTTTTCAGGAGCGTTCTTCCACCTTGGGGAGCTGCAGCCAAAATAAGCCCTTGTTTGTGCAGTGCTCCTGGCTGCCAGCTGGCAGTGTATTAGCAGAGAATCAAATAATTTGCTGTTTCTTTCCCATAAACACCTCTGCAAGGCACTAAAAGCTCCTGTGCGGAATGAAACACGAGTGGAGGGGCTTGCGCGGCCCCTGCTGCTAATGTGGGATAATCCAATTTGGCAGGAGGGAGGCTGGGCTGGCGAGCTCCTTCCCGGGGCTGCGCTTGCCTCTGGTTTGCAGCTGGAGGAAGCCTGGGTTCTTTGTCATCAATAAATGCTAGGGCTGCTCTGAGGGTGATGGACCCACCCGGGGCTTGCTGTCAGTGGGATGTTGGCACAGAGACCACGGGGGTATGACCTGCCTTACTGCTCCGTGATGGGTGCACAAGCAAGGTAACAACCAGCAGGGCAGGGGGGAAGTGATTGGAGGACTCAACCTCCTTCAGAAAAGCTAGGTTTTATTAATAAACCTAGTTTGAGCTTTTTTCCCATACATTAAGGCCAGGTTGGATGGGGCTTGGAGCAACCTGCTCTAGTGAAAGGTGTCCCTGCCCATGGCACAGGGTTGAACTAGCTGATACCATGATTCTGTGAAGATGGGAGGTCAATGGCTTTCTTTTTGCAAGTGGATTATTTGTGGGCAAGGCTGGGTGAGCAGCACCAGGGGTGCTGGGCTGCTTGAAGGAGCACTTTGGCTCCTTGGTGGCAGAGAAGCCTCTTGGGCTGCATTGGAGCCTCTTGTCTGGACAGAAGCACCTCCTCGTCCCTCACCAGCTCCCTCCCTCAAGGCCCCAGCATCTCTCCCAAATTGAGCATCATCTCCCACAGGTCTCCTGGGTCTGATGCTAGGGGGAACCTGCTGATGGTGTCCCCTGGGATGGCGGCTCCACAGGCACAGCCTGTGCTCTCTGCAGGCGTTTCAGCTCCGGGGCGATGAGCTCCTCCCTGCAGCTTTCTCAGATAATAAAAGAAGAGTAGTTGCAAAGTAAATCATGTCACGGGGAGGCTGGTGTGTGTGCCTGGCAGCTGAGGGATGAATTAGCTTTCCTTTGGACTCGTGGTTTAATTGAAATGTGAATTTATTGCCTTTATTTAGCTTGAGCTATGCTGGAGTGCTGTGGACTCGTAAAGCACAAAGGAAAATAAAAGAGAAAGCCTTCCTGTGCTGCAGCTGACCCCTGTGCTTTGATTGTATGTCTCATTTACCCTGACTCAAGTTAAATAAGGACAGGAGAGAGCACGGCGCTGCTGGGCGCTGGGAGGCAGGGATGGGCTCAGGACTCGGGCAGTCCCAGCTGACACCAGCAGTGATGGGGACCATGGTCATCGATGGGGATGGATTGTCTTGAAGAGAACATCATTTGTGCAAACAGATGTTTTTCCTTCGCAGCTGCAATTGCTTTGTTCCATAGCACTGTGCGGCTGTGTGTCTGTGTGCCTGTGGGATGTACAGTACACGAGCACAGCCCCTTCCCCTCCCACTGCTCTTGTACATCTCTCTGTTCTTCTTCCTCCCCCTGCTGTGACCCCCCGTGTTACCCTCATCATTCCTTTCTATTCTCTTATTTCGTTATCCCTTCTCTGGTGCTCACCTGTGTCTGTAGAACCAGCTCTGTGAAGGTGTGCGTAGGAGACACACAATGTTAGGTTCCTAAAAACACCCCAGCCAGCATCTTTCCAGATCTGATTTCTCTGTACAAAGTGTGACACTGATTTGAGACAGAGCAGCGATGCAGAGTGTGAGGCCCATTAAAAGAAACACAGAGAGGAAAAAAGGCATAAAAAGTGTTTTTATCCACGGAGCTGAGGCCGTAAAGAGGCAAAGCATCACTGGGACCTCAGTGGGGACACATCCCAGGCACGGATCGACCCCTGGCCGAGCACTCGGGCGGTCGCTTGTCCCTTCGGCGCTGGCATTCCCTGTGTTCCTGCCTGGCAGCTGTACGTTCCCTCACCTCCTGTGATGCTCTCGCTCCGTAGGCCTCACGCCGAGGACTTCAGCGTGGATTCCTCCTTCTCACAGTAAGTGCACCGCACGCGTTGCCCTGCACCGCGGTTGTGGGGAGGGGATGAGGGCTGCTGTGGCACCGCCGGCACTCTTCCATCAGGGAAAAGCCACCTGTGTTCTCCAGAGAGTGAAAACCTCTTCCAGCCTGGGGTGTTCGTGTGGTGCATGCGTGCATGGTGTCCGGTGAGCCAGGTGTTGGTAGATGAGACATTCCAGGCCAGGCTGGACGTGGTTCGGAGCAGCCTGGTGCAGTTGAAGGTGTCCCCATCAGGGTTGGACTAGATGACCTTTGAGGTCCCTTCCAACCCAGACAATTCTGTGATTCTACTGTGGGCAGTATCTGCTGCCAAGACTGGTGGTCGGCCTTCGCTTTAAATTGGTCATAGATTGTTCTGCTTTTCAGGGAGCTGATGAGCATGAGATTCCTCCTTCACTGGTCTTGGCACCAAGGAGCTGTGCATGGCACCAGCAAACCCTTCTGAAAGAGCAATGGTTCCCACCCTGGGGAGGGCTGTGCGCTCAGACACGCAGGTTTCTTGGGGAAGAAGTGATATCCTTGGCAGCAAATTGGTGATTACCCATTAACGATGAGCTCCGTGCACAGACCCTAATTAAACAATCGACATTCATCAGTAGAAGCAATCATAGGAGCAGACTCGTGAGTTTCAATCTCCAATGTTGCAAAACAACTAAACCAAACAAAGCAGTGTGTTTAAACCATTGCTGCTTCTCTTCCTGGGTTGGAATCTTCTTTACTGAAGCCCTGAGCCAGGGCTCCCAGCCTGGGATGGAGCCGCGTGTCCTGCTTCATCCCAGAGCCAAACCTGTGTTTTTGGGAGCGCAGGGGGCCGCTGGGCCATTGCTGTGCTGCTGGCCCTGCTGTGCATCTCCACCACTTGCTCTTAGCTATTGAGGGCATTTGCATGGAGAGATGTTCAGCCCGTGGTACCTCCAGTGCTTTGTTTGGTGCCTGAAAATGAGCTCTGTACCCGCTGCATGCGGTTGGAGAGGGATTATTGCTGCCTCCAGGGAATAAGGAATTGATAAAAATCCCATTTCCAGTGCAATATCCTCCCTAATAAGATAGGAAAAAGAAGTCCAGCGGCAGATTTCTTTTCTATCAGTACAGATTCATGAAGCCTTTCCTGCAGTCTGTGTCTGGGTCCCAGCTCAGCAGAGCCCTTGTGTGAAGCCAAGCGTGGTCTTGGGCAGAGGTTTTCCAGAAGTGGCTGCTTGGAGCTTGCTTTTCATCCCCAAAACATCAAACTGCAGTGTTAGTGCTGGAGCCAGGATGACATTACCTGCATCCCACTGTGTTTAATTTGCTGCAGAGTGGTTATCGCTCCTTTCTTCGGGCAAGAATCACTCCATAATAAAGCAGGAAAGGCTTTTTTCCCTCCATGTATTCCCACAGTAAAAGAAACAAGTTTCTGAGCGGGCCCTGGGGCAACACGTGCCACAGCAGCCTGGTTCCCAGTGCAGGGTATCCATCGGTGTGGGTCTCAAGTTGCTAAACGTTTGTGCCTCAGCATGTGCTCTGCCCAGAGCCCGAGCAGCCCAGCAAACTCATCCCTGCCTCTGTGTGGGCTGTGGCTTGAGTGTTCCATCAGTCTGGATGGGTCACCAGGGCAGCCTGACCAGGAGGCTGGATCCTGCAGGGCTGCAGTGGTGCCCGTGAGAGGCCGATGTGGAACCTGCTGAGCACCCTGGGGCTCAATGCTTCCACGATGTATGGGGATTATCAGAGCCCCTGTTGTGGCTGGTCCCGCACGGTGCACCGGGGGGATGCAGGGACAGTGGGGATGCGCAGGACATGTCCCGCTGGAGCTGTGCAGCCCTGTGCAGTTTTGAAGCCCTTTCTTGCACGCTCACCAGCGCCGAGCCGGTAGAGCCTTGCTGAAACCCACAACCCTCCTCCTTTGAGTAATTGTTCAATTACCGCTTATTGAGCGTGGGGGCAGCCTGTTCCCTGTTTTCACTTTGGCAGGCACCTGGGCTTGCTGTACGCTCACAGCCGTACAGCTGTTCCCACTTCCCATCTCCAAACAGGCACCGGGAGCAGCTCATCGCACCGGTGAGCTGGGAGCTCCGGTGGGAAGAGCTGTAGCTGCCCCCCATCCTCTGCGTAGGTTGAGGATGGTAAACGCATAGATCCCGGAGGTGGTGTTCAGTACACAAAGCTCGCTCGGTGTCATCCCTCTTGCTTGTTACCATTAGAAAAGGTAGAAAACTGCCATTAAGAAAAGGTGGAAAAAAGCAAAGAGCATCTCTGAAGGAGGTCGGGAGGGTTGGCAGCTGCTGGAGATCTGCATGGGTAGCTTGTGTGCTTGTCACCAGCAGGTGTCTGAGCCTCAAGCTGCGTCTGGTACCCACAGCCCATCCCTGATGAACCCCCCAGGCCATCTCTTTAATCCCAGACTTGGGCACAGCCACATTCCTTATGTATGTGATCCGTGTGGTTTTGCATGGAGCATGCAGAGCTGTCCTCTGGGCTGAGCTGGAGCGGTGGGATGAAGCGGGATCTCACTTGAGGCTGCGCTGCCTTGGCAGGGGTGGGTGATGGCACCCACCAGATTGCAGAGATTTCTGGGGTTATTTTTGGTTTCTTGGGGTGGTTTTTTTGGTGTTTTTCCCCCCCAAAAAAATATCTCAGCAGTTTTTTTTTACATCTCACTACATGGTGAAGTTTCTTGAGAAATTTCCTGGGACAAGAACAGCATTTCCCACCCAGCCAGAGTGTGAGAACAAGGACTGGAGCTGCAGAGAGCTGCCAAGATTTTTCTTGTCTTGTGCTCATCCTGGTCCTGCATCCTGCACTTTTCTGAGCAAACTATTCTGTCCTTTTTTTGGATCTCATCATCTTACAACAAATTGCCGCTAATCCTAGATTTAAAAAGTACAATAAATAACAGAGGAAAGATGAAATTGCTCGGGCGTTATGAAGCGCATAATAGCGGTAATTACACTTCCAAGCAGAGGGCTTGTAACTAGACTTGTACTGTGATGATTATCTGCATGGCCTGGGGGGGGGGGGTCAGCCAACGTGAAGCAGGGGGAGTGGGGTGATAACTGCTGCCTTCCTGCAGAGCCTGCTGCTGCCTGTGCCCCTTGGTGCTGCCTGGGCTGGGCTGACTCCACACTGCCCGGGTGTCAGGAGGGATGCTCAGCCACTGGGAGGGATGCTCTGCTCTCAGAAGGGATGCTCTGCTCTCAGAAAGGATGCTCTGCTCTCAGAAGGGATGCTCTGCTCTCAGGAGGGATGCTCAGCCCTGGCAGCAGGGAGGGGACAACTTGAATGGACCAGCTTGTCTGAGCTGCTCTGAAGGCAGAGCCTGTCGGGGTGTGTGCTTTAGGGTGATAACACAGTCGGAGTTTAGCTTGGTTTTGATTTTCTTTTGAAGTTAGTTTCTTGACAACGAAATTAAAGGGTATGTTTTAGATGATATCATCTCCTTCCCTCAGCTGGAAATAGAGCAGCTTTGATACTTTTGGGTGGTTGCTGCTGCCTGGTAAAAGCCATCACTCATTCAGCTCTGGGGTGTTGGCTTAACCTGGTGCCTGCAGAGCGGGTGCACCAGGTTAAGCCAACCATGCTGTGCCTTTGCTCTGCGCTCCCTCCTCCTGTACACAGAAGCCCTCTGGGATGGTCACCCACAGCAGGGCAGTGGTGGGGCCATGGCTGTGGGCACCCATTCAGGTCCAGGGGCTCAGCCCACTTAGCAGCAAGGGCAGGTTGTCTGCACAGGAACATGTTCTTCCTACTTTCCCTTGTTCCTTCATCTCTTTGCACTGATAAACACCCCCTTCCCCCTCCCCATGACCTGCTTCAGTTGCCTTCCAAATGTTTCTTCTTCCTGCAGCCATTAAGATGGATGAATACGTGGGCTGCTTTGTCATAAAAAGTTAGATCTCTTCTAATCATTCAGTTCTTTTATCCATCAGTGTTTATATTCATAGTCTCGAGGTGGGCTGCGGCGCTCCAGATCAGCAAACCATCTGTCTGGCGACAGAGATTTATATCGCTGTTTGTTCCTTTGATACGGAGGCGAATGTCTGGGAGAGGAAGCATGCTCCCTCAAGTCTCCCTCTCCTCAATGCATTTAATCCTCAGGGACTCTGATGAATGGGGTGCCCAGAGCTCATGACGGAGCTGACGGCCAGTTCTCAGCATTTCTGGACATTTTTAATAAGGAGAAGGAGCAGTGAGCTTGTGTGTGCAGTGCTGGGAGAAGCTGGGGCAGCTGATTTATGCCCTGGCTCAGATAAATCATTTACCAAACCCGGCTTTGGAAATTACTAGTTTTACTGTGTGTTAAAGCTGTGCTTATGACGCTCTGCAATTATGGCTGCTTGCTCCTCAGGCATCGTGCTGGCTGAGCCAGCGCTCATAAATCCTCCTGCTTCACTCCTCAGTGCCTGTGGTTCCTGTGGCAGGGCCTGTGGTTGCTCACCTCCTCCCTGCTCCCTTCTTGTGCCAGCAAGACTGGCTGGTGAGCGGGCGCTGGGTTCCATGCAAAGACCCCTTGTGCTGTCTGGTCCTCGCGAGCATCAGGGCTCCAGGGGAGATGCAGGCTCAGCTCCCGTTTGTGGGGCTGCCAGGGATGTTTGGGGTGAGGCGTGTTCTTGGGGAAGCCCCACAGCTGCTGCTGCTGCCACAGGTGCATTTGTGTGAAGCATTTTCTTCACCGGATGCTGTGCAATGTCCTGCTGGGGGTTTGCTGAGGGCTGCCAGCTTTACCTGGGCATCCTTCCCCTTGGCATCGTGACCAGCACAGATGCCAAATGTCTTAAGAGAGGTTGGTGAGTGCCCCATTGGTTATTGTCACCTGTGGTACGGAGCTGCTCGGTGGGTGACATCCTGCCAAGGGTCCCAGGCAGGGCACAGGTCTGTGGAGGACATGCAGTGTTTGCTTCCCTGGTAAGGCTCCTGCTTTCCTTCCTCTCCAGCACTGTTGATGGAGACAAGGTAGAGCCCCTGGGCTCTGCCCGCAGCAGCTCCAGAGCCAGAGATGGGTCTGCATCACCCCCCCCTCAGGCTGTACCTGCTCCAGGCTGTGCTGCCCCAGCAGCATTAGGCAGATGCTGAAGTCCAGGCTCTTCAGATCAAGTCTGACTTTACCACCAGATAAGGGACTCCACAAGAAGCTCTGAGGAGCTCTCAAGCATGTGCCGTGCTTTTCACACCCCAGTCGGTGTCCCCACGAGCTGTCAGCTTGGCTGTGACATGCCAGCGGGCACCGGTGGGTACCAGGACCTGGGTCCCTGGAGCGATGAGGGTGTCCTAAAACCCCTTCCCAGTCTGCAGCTCCTCATGCATACACAGTAAATACCTGCTTATCCCTCTGCTGTCAGAGCGAGTAGCAGCTGCTTCCCAACACATCCCCATCCGGTGGCATGTGCCAGGCAGCACGCTTGGCTGGAGCCAGCACCGTGTGTGCAGGGGGCTTGCACAGGAGAAATGAAAGGGGGTGCTAGGTTTAATGACTGTCACTGTGAATTTGCTCACACTGGTCTGTGCCTTGGCTTGGTAATAGGCCTGATTAATGAGATCTTGATGACCTCTTCCAAGCAGTTGAAAACATAGTAATAATAGTAGCACTTACTTAAGAGAGTTGTTGAATACAGTGAAATAGGGGAAATAGTGGCTAATTTATATTGCACTTAACTCCATTATCAGCTGTAACAGTAATGAGCAGACTTCGTCTTGCTCAGAGTCTGAAGCTGAGACATGAGGAAACATTCCCTTTCTGCCTGCACTTAGCAGGCAGGAGTGTAATTTATAACCCTGACTAGGATGAACAAGTGAGTTTGCCTAGGGCGTTTGTAAAGTAATAGGAGAGGAGGTGGCAGGTGAGCTGAGCAGGACCAGGTTGGCCTGCACACCATTAATCTGGGTATGCTTGATCCCAGACCCTGCTGTGATCCGTTGGGAGGAACCCACAGACTTGGTGAGGCCTTCCCCATCCGTGAGCATCCACCCGGCATGTGGGGACCAGCACGAGGGAAGCGGATGGGTGTCAGTGATGGAGACTGGAGCAGCTGAGGATGAAGAAGGTCACAGTGGTGGATGAGCCATGTCCAGCTTCGCCTGTGGCTCCTCTCTGCTGGTTTCTGTCCAGTGCCCCAGTGTCTGGTTCTCACCGTGGTGCCTTGTCCCTGTGCCACAAGTCACCAGCAGCTCCCAATGCCAAGTGACGTTTGGAGTTGGTTGTCAGCTCCTGGGTTTTTCTGGAATGGCCAAATGTGGTTTCTTAGCAACAAAGAGTGGGGTTTTTTTTTCTCCTTTTAGATCAGATTTGTTGTTTAACAGCTTCAGTGCTGAACGCTGCTCCCACCTGGGCAGAGCCAGGGCATGGGTGTACCAGGGACATCGCCCTCACTGGTTCCTGGTCTGGTGCAGCCACAGGGGCTTGGAGCAGGTTGAACATTGCTGGGGAGACTGCTCCACTTTTCTGAGAGGCTTTGAATGCCGTAAAGCACGTGGGAAGGGAGAAGTCTGCAAGTCTGATGTCAGCTGGTTGCATGTGAATGAAAGCCAAGCCCTCAACCCAAAGAAGACCTGGCCCCATGAATCACATCTGCATCCCTAGTAGTCATTGATGCACCACGTCTTGGTGTTCATGGCTGGTGGTGGCAGTGATTTGGTACTGTGGAGCCTGGGATCTGCTGTGGGCTTCTCTGGGGGTAGGGGTCACTCAGCTGGGATGGGGAGATGGGGCTCCTGGGGGGCGCCGGGTCCAACCTGCCCACCCCACTGACATCCTGCTCTGGTGCTTTCCCCACAGGGTGCAGGTCGAGTTCTATGTGAATGAAAACACCTTCAAGGAGCGGCTGAAGCTCTTCTTCATCAAAAACCAGCGATCCAGTGAGTGCTCCGTGTGTGCAGTGAGCCTCTGCCGGGAGAAACCAAACCCTGCCCCAGCTGGGAGAGCCAGGCTCTGTCCCTGCGGGATGAGAAGCCATTGCCATCTGCTGGTGGCTGTTAACCCGGGTGTCCTGAGCGCCTGTTGGCCTCTCTGTTGGGTGTTGGCCAACTTGGTTTGGGGGGATGCGGTTGCCCAGGGATGCTGATTGCCACCTTTGTGCACTGGAGCCAACCACAGCGTGGAATCCAGCTGGGACAACTTGCCAGGAGCAGGATGGGTGTTGAGAGCTGCCTGGGAGGGGGTCAGGGAGCACGCATCCCCATCGTGATGCCAATGACGTCCTGGCACCCGCAGGGAGGTCAGTGGCTATGGGGCAGCCGAGGCAGGCTGTGAGTTACCCACTCGCTGCAGATTAGCCTCCGCTTGACTAATGGTGTTGTTATTGCCTTCCTCCGAGCTGTCATTAGCTGTCTGGAGGGAGTCTGCTCCTCAGTTTATAAATTCACATTCTCCTTTCCGCCCTGCATCCCGCCGCCTTCGTAGAGAGCTGGAGCGCAGCGCAACGGGGTGCCCACGGGGAAGTTTTTAATGAAAATGTGATGAATTTCTCACTTGTAATTTGAGTAACAACCCGATGAACCGGCTGCAGATGGATTGTGGATAAAGCAGCAGCTTTTGCTCGCCATCCCTCACGCAAGCCGGGAGCAGAGTGGGGCCCTGGCCCTGCTGTCTGATGCTTTTTAATGGATGCTTGCTAATGAGGGGGATACAGTCCAGCAACTCCTCATTTGTGTCTCACATCTATTGGGGTCAGCAAGGAGCTGACTCATGGTTATTTATGGCTATGTTGGTCTCCTGTCTGACACTGGGTATGATGCAAAGCACGAGCAAGGTTTGCGTGCTACCCTGGGCTCAGTGGGGTCCTGTGGTGCGTGGGGCTGTGCTGTGGGGTGCCTGGGTTGTGCTGCCTGGCCCATGCTGTGCTCTGCCTGCCGCAGGTCTGAGGATCCGGCTCTTCAACTTCTCCCTGAAGCTGCTCACCTGCCTCCTGTACATTGTCCGTGTCCTGCTCGACAACCCGGAGGAGGGCATAGGCTGGTGAGTGCCAGTGATGCCACTGGGCTCCCCAGTGCATGCAGCGGTGAGAGTGGATGCGGTGCTTACAGCGGGTGTGAAGATGCACAAGGGGGGGCTTTCCTCACTCTGTTTCAATTGGTACTTTAGCAAACTTGCTGGTCTGGAGGCTTTGCTCCCTGCTCAAATGTGGGTGTCTGCTGGCCCTGCACAGCAAAGAGCTGGGGGGAAAATTCAGGGTGATGTTCGTTTCCGATGCTGTTTGGTTCTGATGCTCAGGGCTGCACCGTGGCCTTCAGACACAGGCAATGGCTCATGACTTCAGTGCATCGCCATGGAAGTGTTTTCTGAATGCTGATGCCCTTGAAGACACTTCTGCTAAATCCCATTTAAGTGTTTGGGAAAGGAATACGTTGTGCCATTTAAATCCCTGAGGTGACAAATGATTACATACAGCAGCTTTGCTCTGGGTTTCGGCGAAAACCTATTTTTAATGTGTCCTTGCTTTGTTTAGCCCACATACAAAGTGGGGGTTTTCTAAGAGCGAGGAGAATTAGCAAGTTAACCTTCTCTTTGCAATGGTTGCAGAGCTACCAAGTACATCCTCGTGCTCCAAACGTGGCTTCAAACCTGTGAGGTTTAAGCATGACAGAGATGCACATCCCTGAACAGTTGAGCACAGATGTTGTTTGGGAAAGTTCCCTTTCTTAAGGGGCATGGCAAAATAGGGGCTGGCCAGAGGGAATGCTACAGCCTCTGCTGTAGGGACCAGTGTGTGTTTGAATCCATGGGAGTGTTCTTTGGGGTCTCTCCCTGCATCAGGACACAGCAGCCAGGGCACCCCATGAGCCTTGGGGATTCAACACCAGCACGCTTGCTCCTTCCTCCCCTTCACTGACTGCTTTCCCTTCCTTTGCCTTTCTCTTATAGCTGGGAATGTGAAAAACAGAATTACACCGCGTTCAACCAGTCCACGAAGATAAACTGGTGAGTGGAGAGCTGTGCCGGTGCTGGGGTCCGGCTCTGCCAGGGTGCGGGAACGCAGTGATGGATGTGGCTGCTGCTGGCAGCTGCCCGGGGCCATTTCTTGGTCTCAGGGCTGCTCGAGGCATGCACAGCAGCATCCCAGGATTGAAGCAATTGACAGTGCTTGTGGCTGTACCCCTGGGAATGATTTATTCCCTGTGCAGCCATTAACGCTGCACTTACGCATTAACACAAAATGTTCCTTACTGCTTGAACAAACCGCAGTAAGGAACAAACAACCAGTGCCAGTCCTTTGCTGGATCCTGCTTCGATGACAGCCTCATATTAGTGTTTGGTGGGGGGTGAAAGCGTTGCTGTTTGGGCTACGGATTAGATCTGGGTTGATTTTTCCATGCAGGTCACACATCTTCTGGGTGGACAGGAAAACGCCGCTGTGGGCTGTGCAGGTGAGCGCCCACCCCTCGGGCACGGCTGTGTGGGAGCCAGCAGGTCTCTGTGCATCCTGTGCTGAAACAACAAGGGGCAATGGGTTGTGGTCAGTGAGCACAAAATGAGCTGGGGCTTCTGCTGGGAGAACAACGTGGCCCTGGGTGAAAGTCACCGGGATGGATAGGAGAGGAAACGCTGTAGGAAGATGAAACCATGGTGCTGGCTCAGTTCCTCCCCACCTGGACGCAGCTGTACCCATAATGGGCTGTTTCCAGGCTGTGCACTGCCTGGGGAATGGCTTGTGAGAGGGTTGAGCACCCGTCAGCTCCTGCTCGGGGCTGCCTGGAGCTCACACATCCAACCTGAGCAAACAGGTCCTCATCTGCGATACCCAGGGGCTCCTCATCACACAGGGCAGGGCGGGCTCAGGGAGCTCTGATGACTGATGCTGCATCACAGGAGCCCTCAGCAGCCTTTGGTGTCTGTCTCTGCAGGTCAGCATAGCTTTAATCAGCTTTCTGGAGACCATGCTGCTCATCTATCTCAGCTACAAGGTACGTGCCCTGCGGGGGCAGTGGGCAGTGATGCGCTGCCTGGGTCAGATCCCCCTGTGTGAATTCATTTCGCCTCCTTTGAGCTGTCTGGAGCCTGAGGCATCCCGAGAGGACGTTAGTGTCAGTGATGGCTCAGCCGGCTGTGGCTGTTTTCCTCCCTCATTCCCCCCCAGGCTGCTGGATAAGTGTTGTGCAGAGCAGAGCGGGGGGGATCTCTTTCCTTTAAATTCAGCCCCGTTTACCAAAGCTCGCTGTTTTTATGGGGGACAGATTGAAGCATGTTGAGCTTCCTAAGGCTGAGGACCTGGAGCTGAGCCTGGCAGCACGACTCCTGCTTGTGCTGAGCTCTGCTGCCGCCGGAGGTAGCCGGCACTGCTCCAAGCCAGACAGGGAGAGGCACAAGCTGACTCCTTTGGACCAAAGCCCCTTAAAATGGCCAAGAAAAGTGACCTTAACAAATGGCATCTTCTCACATTCAACTGGGACGGTTGGCAGCAGAGACTCAGACCCTGCATCACCAGAGATCTGTATCACCCTCATTCTCTGTCCTGCGTGCAGCGTTGTATTATGCACTGCATTGCATGCAGCATCCCCAGCTTCGGGAGCAGCAGTGATGGACAGAGGGATGTCGTGGCTGCAGAAAGGACTGAGCAGTTTGGGGAGGTTTTATTGCCTGTGTACCTGCTGCCAGCACTGCATCCCCCTCCTGCAGGCAAACTGGAGCATCTTTGTGGCTCCTCTGGCATCCTTCCCCCATCTAGCAGGGTCTGTAGCAGAGTGGGAGCTTTTTAATTGTCCTTTGGCAGATCGTTAAGCTTCCTTAATCATTATTTGCTTCTAATTCCTCAGGGGAACATCTGGGAACAGATTTTCCGCATTTCATTCATCCTGGAGATGATCAACACGGTGCCATTTATTATCACGGTGAGTGTTTCCCGGTGACATTTGAAAGCAGCTTTAAGTTGAGTTTAACAAGTGCTGTAGTTTTGGTGGGGAAATAAAGAAAAATGGGGGTGTGGCCAAGGAGTATTTAAAGCTGGCAGGATGTTTTCTCTTCAATATAATGACTTTCTCTGGAGTGTTACCCCAAAAACCATCTTCCCTTTTCAGCTGCTCTGCTGCAGTCGGGCTGCTTTCAATGGCAGCCTCTGGAAAGGCCAGTGCTGAGTTTTGGAGATGGATCCTTCCAACAGGGCTCAAATTGGCTGTTTATAGGGGTTGTTTTTGTAAAAACATGGGTTTTTTTCTGTGATTAACCCTTGCTTTTGTAGATATTCTGGCCTCCTTTGCGAAATTTGTTTATTCCCGTGTTTCTGAACTGCTGGCTTGCCAAATACGCCCTGGAGAACATGATTGTGAGTGACCGGATGCATCCCACCCCTTTCACCTGCCCTGGGCTTGGTGGGAGGTGAGGCTTTGCCAGCTGGTGATGCTGTGCAGTGACCCGCTGGGGAACGGGAGCCCTTTGGTGTCAGAGCCACACTGATTCTGTTGGTTGCGCACTGAGAGGCATGGCCTCTGGCTGTCGCCAGGACACGGTATTACATCAGGACGAGATGTTCCAGCCGTTCCCAGGGGCCCATTTGGGTTGTTCCTCCTGGCAGCAGAGCCCAGAGCTGCTCGTAGAAGTGCACATCCCTTTTCAAAGGCCAGAGTCTGGCCTGTTCTTCATCTGGGTGGGCAGTGCTGATGGCAGTGAGGCAGCGGTCGGTACCTGGAGGGTACCTCAGCCTCTCTGAGCTGGTGAGAGCCCTCTCCTCTCTTTGCAGAACGACCTACACCGAGCCATACAAAGGACCCAGTCTGCGATGTTTAACCAAGTGCTCATTCTGATCTGCACCCTCCTGTGTCTTGTTTTCACGGGGTAAGCGTTGCTCTTCCTTTCACTAAACCACCCTTTTCACCCAGGGAAACCAGCTTCGCGTGTCCTAGGGGGGACTGATGGAGCCAGGCTCTTACAGGGCTTACAGGAGAGGGAGGTGGGGTGAGGTCTTCTTGTCTGGGGTGGGGTGGCCTTGCCAGGACATAAAGTGGTGATGTGGGAAGTCGGAGGAGGTTCTGCTTTTAGTCTTCTAGCCTGATTTTTCAGTCCGAGAGGTTTGTGAGCACTGGGGAAAGCACAACAGGCTGCCCAGAGAAGCTGTGGCTGCCCCATCCCTGGCATTAAGGCCAGGTTGGACAGGGCTTGGAGCAACCTGCTCTAGTGGAAGGTGTATTGTAGAAACTGATCATGATCATCTTCCCTAATTATATGGTTTGAACAGAAACCTGTTAATGGCGTTGGAGGGTGTTGGAGGGAGACGGGTGCTGCATGCAGAGCAGGGCTGTGAGTGCTGCAGGGTTAAGGGAAGGGCCAGCAGTTTCCTGCGGGGACAGGCTCAGACATGTGTGATGTCTCTTTCACCAGGACCCATTGCACTCCTTGGTCCTGACCACGCTCTTCTCCCCACCACGATACCACTTGAGATACCTATTACACAAAGAGCTCATTTGTGTAATAGGCCACTGGGGCTCCTGCTAATTAACTGGCCCTTTTACCCTGCGCATTGCCAGCGACAAGGGCAGCTCTTTATAGAGGAGTCAGTTCTCACTGCTGGGTACTTAGCTTTAAATTAGGCTTTTTGAAGCTTCCTCTGGCTCCCTTGGTCTGGATTTGAACCATCTAATACCACTGAGCTGCTGAATGGTCAGGAAATGAAGCTTTTAGGCTCATGAGTCTTTGGCAATAAAGACAATCTTCTCTTGTGAGTGACTAATGCAGCCGCAGAGCTCGTCAGTGCTCCCTGCCCATGGCACCTCCAGCCTGCTATGGCCGTGGTTGTGTGTCTTGGTGGATGTGACAGGGCTACAATTTGGGTACGGGATGACTTAGATCATGCTTGCGTTTAGCAAGATCACTTAGAAACTGCTGGTAGCGAGGTGGCTCTGTGATACAGCTTTCCAAGAGCAGTGCCATAGGAATAGGATCTGCCTCCTGCCTGCTGGAGCACATCCCTCATATGGGAGCCCTTCCCATGGGATGAGTCTCTCCAGAGCCTTACTGGGAAAGCTGCCTCCTTCCATGATTTGGGGTTTTTTGCAATGCAATGGCAGCTCCCGGGTGATGTTCAACATGTTTTCCATGGCACAGACTTGCTGTGACCCATCAGCCATGTCCTAGACTTCCCAGTGTCGCTCTGGTGAGCAGCCACATCAAAATAAATCCTTCATCTGTAAGCGTCAGTAGTGGAATCACTTCTGCTGGTGACATAAATCCACTGCTGATGCTGACAGCTGTTACAGACAGATTTCCTCCATGGACATGGGTTTAAGTTGCGTTCTAGGGTCCCCTACTGACTTCAACAGGCGCTACAGGCGCTGCCTGTCTGCTGGGCAGGGCAGCACTCGCTGTGATGTGCCCTTTCTCCCTTCAGGACCTGTGGCATCCAGCATTTAGAAAGAGCAGGTGAGAAGCTCTCCCTCTTCAAGTCCTTCTATTTCTGCATCGTCACCTTTTCCACTGTGGGCTACGGAGACGTGACACCAAAGATCTGGCCTTCCCAGCTCCTCGTCGTCATCATGATCTGCGTCGCCCTCGTCGTGCTGCCGCTCCAGGTTAGCCCTGCCCGAGGATGGAGAGGGATGCAGAGCCTGCGCCCGGGCAGCCCTGCCGATGGGGACAGCAGCTCTCTGCCTTCGCTTGCAGTTCGAGGAGCTCGTCTACCTGTGGATGGAGCGGCAGAAGTCGGGAGGCAATTACAGCCGTCACCGCGCCCAGACGGAGAAGCACGTCGTCCTCTGCGTCAGCTCCCTCAAGATCGATCTCCTCATGGACTTCCTCAATGAGTTTTATGCGCACCCACGTCTGCAGGTGAGGACCAGGCGTGGCGGTGGGTGCTCTGCCCAGCTGCAGTGGATGTGGCAGCGTGTGCTCTACTGGCCAAGGAGAGGTGACAAGTGGTACCCTAGGGCCGCCTCGCTTTGCTGTCTTCATGGTAGGGCTCTCTCTGCCTGTTCCCCCCTGTGTTCTGGCCAGGCCTCTTGCAGCTCTGTGTAAGCACATGGAGTGGGACCACAGGGACTTTTCTAAATGTAAAAGACGTATTTGCTGAATGAACAGCCTCAGACGGAAACAGAACATGTAATTGCTAAACCTCTGGGGGATTTAGCCAGCTTTTACTGGAGTATCCCCATATAATGAGTGATCTTCTTGCAAATGGGTGTGCTTTTCCTGCTTCCCAGGATGAAAGGATCACAGATGTGTCAAAGATTTGCATTTCATTCACATACATTTCATTACCAGCACTCAGCCTTGACTCCAGCTTGACGTTCAAGCTGTAAACCCCTGCTCCTTGCAGTCACTTTGCTGTGAGCACGCAGCTCTCTGCTAGTTCCATAGTCAGATGTGCCTGCATTGGCTTTATTACGCAGAACAGGGTGAAGATGATGCTGATGTGTTTCCCAAGACAATTGTAGGACCCTGGAGCAGGGGGTGTCACACACCAGGGCAAATACCAGAAGCCCCAGAGCAGCAAAGCCCCATGTGCAGGACCTCCGTCCTGCCGACCCACGGGAGCCTCTCTCTTTCAGGACTACTACGTGGTGATACTTTGCCCAACAGAGATGGACATCCAGGTGCGGCGGGTCCTGCAGATCCCCCTGTGGTCACAGCGAGTGATCTACCTCCAGGGCTCTGCGCTGAAGGACCAGGACCTCATGAGAGCCAAGTAAGCTGAGGGACACGCTGCACAGCCACGGCGAGGCCGGCTCTGCCGTGCAGACCTTGGAGCCACAGAGAGGGTCCCCAGTAATGTCAGCCCAGATGCATGGTGATGGGCGTCCCTGCATGCCTTCGTTGGGGTCTCAGAGGGGGTTGGCAGTGCCCTGGCTGGTACGGGCAGATGCAATTGGCCGTTGCAGTTCATGGAATCGCTGCTCTCTGTTTGCAGGATGGACAATGGAGAAGCCTGTTTCATCCTCAGCAGCCGGAACGAGGTGGACCGCACGGCGGCGGTGAGCCAGGCCTAGGGGTGGCATGGTCAGAGATCGTTCATTCCTCAGCCATAAGGGACCGGGGTGATGGCTGCGTCTCGCCTCTGCCCAGCACAGGAGGGCATCAGGAGGCAGCTGGAGTGAGAGCGTGGGCTTGAGAGCTGAGCCCCTGCGGGTTCATCTTCCTTCTGCTGTCCCAGTTTCCCATCGGTGCTGGGTTTTGGGGAGCAGGAGGAGCAGCTCTCCCCCATTGGGGTGCTGGAGGACCCTTTGCCATAGGTCTCCATGGTGGCCGGGTGCTTTGCATTTCATCCTTGGTTGGAAGCATTGGGGGAAATAAGCCATCAGACAAGCAGCTTTTGCTCTTTTCCTCGGTAGGATCACCAGACCATCCTGAGGGCCTGGGCTGTGAAGGATTTTGCTCCGAACTGTCCCCTCTATGTTCAGATTCTAAAGCCTGAAAACAAGTTCCACGTCAAGTTTGCAGGTGAGTTGAAGGGGCTGTGCGGGAAGAGAATTAGCTCAGGACGGGCTTCTGTCTGCTGCAAGGGGCTGTCAGCCCTGTTATGATGCGCACTAAAGCCTGCAGCAACGTGTGAACCCCACACATTGCAGCAGCGTGGCCTCAGTGGGCTGGTGTCACCCTTTCCTGTGGTGTCTGCCTGTCCCTGTTTTCCTGCCTGCATCAACCCCATTCATGGTGTTGCTCAGGGGCTGTCGATCGGCTGAAAGCCCCCCCCCAGGAGCAGCAGGAGGAGGGAGCACCCATCCCCAAGCACCACCCCAGCACTGTCAGCGAGGAACCCCTCCGTCCCCCTCCCTGCTGCGGCAGTGACAGCCCCCTCTGCCTTTCAGATCACGTCGTCTGTGAAGAGGAGTGCAAATACGCCATGCTGGCGCTGAACTGCGTCTGCCCCGCCACCTCCACCCTCATCACCCTCCTGGTGCACACCTCCCGCGGCCAGTGAGTGCTGCCTGCCCCTGCCTGCCCTGCCTGCCCATGCTCTGGGCCCAGGGGAGAGGGTGAGGGTCTGCCATGGGTCTAGAGGAACCCAGCAGGGACCCTGCTCCAGGTCGGGAGCAGAAGCCCGTATTGCAGGGAGAGCGCAGCAGTGCAGGTGGGCTGCCAGCAGCAGCTTTCCAGGGACTGGGAACTGAGGTGTTGTCTTTATACCGGCATGGTACCTGCTGGTGGGAGGGTTAATTCGCAGCTCGTGCAAACGCAGGTCCTGCAGGCTGTTTGGCAGGTCCGTACACGGCAGGGTTGTGGGTCCTGAGCTCCTTGGCCAGTCACAAGTGTCTGCGTTTTGGGTGAAGTGCCACCAAAGGAGTTATGAAACCTCATTGCCAGACGGCTCCTTCCCTGTGCTCGGAGCTGTTTGCCAACAAGGGCTCTGAACCCTGCCTCTGCACCCCCCGGGAGCCCTCATTGAATAAAAAGGCACTTAAAATCAGCAATGAAAATGAGCTGCAAGCACCACAGCTCACGGTGGCACGTCCCTGCGATCGCACTGCTGCTGGGCTAAATACGCTTCAGTGCTCATTAGCACTCCCGCTGTCGGGGATGGATGGTGTAATGGGGCCTGTGCCAGCGCCAGCGGGTCCCATCCTGGCACCATCGGGGGGTCCATCCCTGCACGCTGCTGCTGCTGTCATTGCAGGGAGGGCCAGGAGTCCCCGGAGCAGTGGCAGCGGATGTACGGGCGCTGCTCGGGCAATGAGGTCTACCACATCCGGATGGGCGACAGCAAGTTCTTCATGGAGTACGAAGGGAAGAGTTTCACCTACGCCGCCTTCCACGCGCACAAGAAGTGAGAGCTAGGGGTGGATGCGGAGTATCTGGCACTCTGCATCTCTGGGGGTCAGGGCTGGGGCTGGAGGGTGCTGTGAGGTCTCTTGTGCAGCATTCTCTAGCTGTGAATGCCCCCGTTGTGCTCCCGGAGCAGGTACGGGGTCTGCCTGATCGGCGTCCGGAGGGAGGAGAACAAGAGCATCCTGCTGAACCCCGGCCCGCGGCACATCATGGCAGCGTCCGACACCTGCTTCTACATCAACATCACCAAGGAGGAGAACTCTGCCTTCATCTTCAAGCAGGAGGAGAAGCAGAAGAAGAAGGGCTTTGCTGGGAGAGGTACCTATGACGGTCCATCCCGCCTGCCTGTGCACAGCATCATCGCCAGCATGGGTGAGTTGGTGGGGCAGGGGGGTAGTGAGGGTCCCCAGAATGGGGCAGGAGCCTGCACACTCCATCTCCTTCCACAGTCACCTCCCCTCTAAAATACACCCTGCTCCTTGCTCCCTGGCTGCTCTCAGCAAGCTCAGATATCGTTATTAAAGATTGATGCCCATGCTTATTAACAGCATTTGCATAAACCCCCCAAGCCCTGGCTGGAAGAATGAACGCCGATGGCCACATCCTAAATCACGTCCGTGATTCACAGCCCGACGAGGAGCGCAGTTCGCTCTGCAGCGAGTGGTGCATTTCCTCCCATAAAAAACGCCATGAGTCACTACTTCCAGCTTGTATCTGGGCAGAGCGGGTTTTGGGGAGGCTGAGCTGCACCAGCAGATTATATTTCAGGCAAATAAGTGATGCGTTTGTACTCATGAGCAGCAATTTGCATTGATCATCTCCAGCAAGGCGCAGGGCGCTTTGCTCAGCAGCGTTTGCCAGTGTTCTCCTTACACGGGTCATTTGCAGAGGGACCTTTGAGAGGGAGGGAAATCGCATGGGTGCCTGGAGGGCTCAGTGTGCGCTAAAGCTCCATAAATAGGTTTGAGTTTTGGAAGGAGGACAGGCTGGGGAGGCCTCCCCTGCCCTGGGTGAAGAGGTAGAGCTCATCAGCAGGGACGCAGGAAGTGGAGGAGGGTGTTGTGCTGTGTTGGAGGCTGCCTGCCTGCCTCTCCTAGGGAGCTTGAGGATGATGGGTACAAAGGGGTGTCCATGGGGAGGGCAGCTTCCCAGCAAGGACAGACACGGTGGCATCAGCTTGTTCCTAACGTGGCTGGTGTCTCCCAGAGCCTGCAAAGCGGGGTGAGGCTGGGTGGTTGTTCTCCCTGAGCTACAGCTGAATAATGAACTGCTATAAAGCCAGGTTTTGCAATAGGTGGGCAAGTAGTGCAGCCAGCCTAATGAAGGTGGCCACGGTGGGGAGACAGAGAAGGTGATAGTCTCCAGGGCCAGCAGCCTGCACCCACTACAGGAGTTGTGCCCCAGGGAGATGCTCCACACAGCAGTGCCCAAGCAGAGCTCACTGGTGGGTGCTTTGCTTGCACTCCCTGTGCCCACGGATGGTTTAGCTTCCTCTGGGCTGCATTTACCAGGCAGGGCTGAAGGGCACGATGCTTTGCTGACTCAGCGCTCTTCACCGCCTTATAGCGCGTTTGCTGTGCCTCCCTCCCCGCCGTGTCCAGGTACAGTGGCCATGGACCTGCAGAACACCGAGTGCCGCCCCGCTAACAGCAGCAAGCTGGCGCTGCCGGCGGAGAACGGCTCCGGCAACCGGCGGCCCAGCATCGCGCCCGTCCTCGAGCTGGCCGACACCTCCTCCCTGCTGCCCTGCGACCTGCTCAGCGACCAGTCGGAGGATGAGATGACGCAGTCGGACGAGGAGGGCTCGGCGGTCGTGGAGTGAGTCACCCGGTTGAGCTCTTCCTCGCTCCATCCCTGCAAGGGTGCTGAGGCACTGGCACAGGGTGCCCAGAGCAGCTGTGGCTGCCCCATCCCTGGCAGTGCTCAAGGCCAGGTTGGACACAGGGCTTGGAGCAAGCTGCTCCAGTGGAAGGGGTCCCTGCCCGTGGCAGGGGTTGGAGCTGAAGGAGCTTTAAGGTCCCTTCCAACCCAAACCATTCTAAGACTCTATTATTCATTCAGAGAGATGGGGACCATTGTAAATGATGGGTGTTTGATAGTGCTTATGGGGTGCTGGGGCTCATTCCCTCTCAGCTTTTGCATGAGCACATGTACATGTGCAACATAGGCAATCACTGCTTTTGGGGTGCTTTGGAAATGCCTCCTCTGGGTACCAGTGAAGTTGCACCAAGGCAGACACTGCTGGGGGTGGGCAGGTTGTTCCATCAGTCCTCTCGCCTCCCCTCACTCACTGACATGAAAGGGATTCTGTTCTCCATGGCATATAAATAAAACCTCACAAAATAAACATTTCAAGCTGTTAGTTTATGGCAGCCAGATAAGCACTCGCTTTACCGGTTACCTGTTGGATGCTGTCACAGCCGTGTGGGGAGTTTGCTGCAAACTCTCACAAATGGGCTTTTAATTCAGGTCCGCTTTTAGCTGTTCTTTAAAGGAAAATTTCGGCTTCTGGTTCCATTAGAAATGCAAATGGTGATTTTTTTAAACGAGCTCTAAAATGGGCCATGAGGTGGTTTTGTTTCTTTATGTGGCTCAGCATTACCCTCCTCTCCTGGAGCTCACTGCTCTGCCTCCCTTAAAGGATGCTTAATGGTGCTTAATCTGCTGCCGTCTCCCCTCTGCTGGGAGCACTGCTTACTTACAATCTCGTAACCCTTTGTATGGCAAAAATCATTCCTAAATACGTGCGTTTTGGGAGACCTCCAGCTGCTGCGGGGGGGGAGTTGTGGAGCATCAACCAGTGCTGAATCCTGGGCTGCTGTTCCTAAACGTTATTGCCAGCACCTGAGCGTTGTGCCTATGGAAAGCTCCCCCCATGTCCTCACGCTGCTGGTTTTGGTCTCTGCTGCAGGTACGTGAAAGGCTACCCCCCGAACTCCCCCTACATCGGGAGCTCCCCTACTCTGTGCCACCTTTTACCGGAGAAGGCCCCATTCTGCTGCCTGAGGCTGGACAAGGTACAACGGGGCTGCAGCCCCCCGGGACGGGACAAACGGCTCCGTGCGTGGTGGGTGGGTGAGAGCCTCACGCTGAGCCCCTGCGCTGCCTTCCACCGCACAGGGCTGCAAGCACAACAGCTTTGAAGATGCCAAAGCCTACGGGTTTAAGAACAAACTGATTATCGTTTCGGCAGAGACGGCTGGGAACGGGCTCTATAACTTCATTGTCCCCCTTCGTGCGTACTATCGGTCCCGCAAAGAGCTGAACCCAATTGTGTTGCTGCTGGACAACAAGCAAGTACTTTTCCGTGGATGTTTTCCATCGCACTGAGCCCTCCCCTGTGACTTCACGAGCATCTCACACTGTGGGGATGGATGCGTGGGGGAATGGCAGTGCCACTGTTGGGCATCGTGGCTTATGTTGGCCCTGGGAACTCCTGTGTGGGTTTTTGTGTCTATCTTTACCCCATGGACTTGATGAAGCACCTTGCTCTCTGTTGCTCTTCCTCCAGGCCTGAGCACCACTTTCTGGAAGCCATCTGTTGTTTCCCCATGGTTTACTACATGGAGGGCACGATCGACAAGTAAGCGTTTCCACTTACGTCCCTTGTAGCTTATGGCACTGCCTAAATGTGTTGAGTTTACCCCAAGCCAGACTTTCGGGTCATCCCATGAGAAGCCCCAGGGCTGCTACCGTAGAGCTGAGCCCACCCTTGGCTTCGTGGGCTGTCGAACCCCCTTGGTAGATGGGAGCAAGCGCAGAGGCGGCGGTTGGGAGCAGCCCGGGCTTGCTGTAGCGCTGCACGTCGCAGCGTGCTGCTTCCCTGTGTCGTTTCCAAGGGCTGACCCTGCGCTCTTCTCTTTGGGAACTGCCCAGCCTGGACAGCTTGCTGCAGTGCGGCATCATCTACGCCGACAACCTGGTTGTTGTGGACAAGGAGAGCACGATGAGCGCCGAGGAGGACTACATGGCAGATGCGAAGACCATTGTCAATGTCCAGACCATGTTCAGGTGAGGGGTGAGCACTGCCCTGGCTCCTGCATGGCCACTGAGCTGTGCTGCAGGCAAGGCTGGGAAGGCTGCTGGTGGCCAGGGTGGTGGCTACGGGCAGTGGGACTCACCTGTGGTTGGACTTGCTCTGGGAAACAGCATCTCATCAGCTCTTTCTGACCTCAGACAGGTACAGGGATGGTTTTGGTCTTCCGCAGGCTTTAAATACATGGAACGCTCTCGCTTCTGAGTAAGCTGCAGGAAAACAGGTCTCTTTCCATTGCAGGCTCTTCCCCAGCCTCAGCATTATCACGGAGCTGACCCACCCCTCCAACATGAGGTTCATGCAGTTCAGAGCGAAGGACAGTTACTCTCTTGCCCTTTCCAAGCTAGAGAAGGTAAGAGAAAGTCTTCCCCTGCACATGGGGCCTGGGAAGTCAGTGCTGGGAGTGACTCAAAGTGTTCCTCAAAGTCCTGTACTCTTCTGCATGCTGCAGCTACCATAGGCAGTGGGCATCTACCTGAGATAACCTGCAGAGAATGAGTGAGCAGTTGATCTTTGGGCTCATTGCCTCCTATTTGTGTGTTTATTCAGTGGTGGGGGTTTGTACTACTGCTGTGCTGGGCCTCTGCATCAGGTTTACTGCTGTGACTGCAGTAAGGGGAGGCAGCGAAGTCACTTTGCTGAGACAGATCTTCCAACAAGGGAGAAAACACCCCTGAACCACACACCGGGGCATTCAGCCCGTGTCAGAAAGCCCCAACCCATTGCTAAATGCCCTGGAGGATGTGAACAAGCCCCGGTGGGTGTTCACATCTCCCATTCCTCCTCCAGAAAGAGCGAGAGAATGGCTCCAACCTGGCCTTCATGTTCCGGCTGCCCTTTGCAGCCGGGAGGGTCTTCAGCATCAGCATGCTGGACACGCTGCTCTACCAGGTAAGAGCCCAGCGGGCTCTGTGTGCACCCTGCAGCTGTGGCCACCCCTTTGCATCCCCCAGTGCATAACTGAGCAAGCCTTTTCTCTGGGTTCCTGCCCAACGTCCCCCCGCAGTCGTTCGTGAAGGACTACATGATCACCATCACTCGGCTGCTGCTGGGCCTCGACACCACGCCAGGCTCCGGCTACCTGTGTGCGGTAGGTGCCAAGTCCTCAGGGTTGAAACCATCAGGTCATCACGGATCTGGTGGGATCTGTCAGTCTGTGCATGGGGATGGAGGGTTCCCATCTTCCACCCTGGAAGATGGGGGGTAGGCAACATTGCCAGGTCATTGCTCCCCTTCCATTGTGTGTGGGGAACCTCAGTGCTACCAAAAGTACAAAAGCCCAAGAGCTGCCAAGGACCAAAGTCCTTGTTTTGAAGGTTGGAAATTGCCCCTGGTCTTTCCGTGGACCTTCACTTTTGGGACTGACAGGGATGAGGTGGGGTAAAGCTAAGGTGCTCCTCAGGTGGCTTTGCATGGCGCAGGATGGTTGACGTTTGTCCTCTGTTGCTCAGATGAAGATCACTGAAGATGACCTGTGGATCCGGACCTACGGCCGCCTCTTCCAGAAGCTCTGCTCCTCCAGCGCTGAGATTCCAATTGGGATTTACAGGACGGAGTCACACATGTTTGCAACCTCTGAGGTAGGGGCATGGTGGTGGTGTGTGCCTGGAAGCGGCTGCTGGTGGTCCCAGCTGAGCATCACCACACAGCAGAGATGTGCTCCATGGGGCTGGCCACGTCCATGGGGCCCTTGGACCTGGGTGCAGCATCAATGGGGAGGAACGAGGGGAGGGGAAGCTCCGCCTTTGTTTCATGAGTGGCTCTGTGTCTGCATTGTGGTGGTGGTGTCCTGATTCCCAGCCAGATATGCTGGTCCATGGGAGTGCCAGGTCTGCAGGCAGCAGCCTGGCTGCGGGTGGACAGGGGGATTTTATGGGCACAGCTCTGCCATGCTGCATGGCGCTGGGTGAGGAGGGGGGTTGTGGCACAGTGGGGCTGCCCCTTTGCTGGGCTCACTTTGGTTTTCCTTCCTTTCCCCTGCTGCAGCCCCACGACATCAGGACGCAGGTGAGTGCCGTCTGTGTCCGGGTGCTTGGCTGGTGCTGGGCATTATCCTGGCTGCCAGCGCTGCCTCCTTGCCCCCCCCAACCTGGAGGCTGGCCTGTGGGCAAGCAATGGTCTGGCTTGTGCCAGCAGCTCCTCTGGCCACTGAGTGCCACCACACTGCCTGTCCCCATGGAAGGGTGATGCCAGCTGAGCGTCAGCAGTCCAGGAATGCCAAAGTCCTTGATTCCCTGAAGTGTAATTAACTGGGATAAGGAGCAGGGGAGTGAGCCAGGCTCTGTTGTAAATCCTTCCAGTTTTCAGCTTTGTGGCAAGTAGCTACAGGGAGCCAAAAGTTGACATTTAATTAAATGCCATCCACCTCTTCCTTAGAGATGCTTTAAACCACTTTATTAATAAATTCCTGCTCTCCGGTGGGATTTCTGCATTGGAGGTGCAGCAGCATGTGTACTGTAAGGTGAAGGAGAGGAAGACAAAGGCATGGTGTAAAGGATACCAGGTGCCTGTTAGACTCCACTTCTCCCCTGTCTGATGCCCGGGCAGTTCTAGCGGCACAGAGATGATGTGCTGGGAGAGTGCGTGTGTGTCAGAGGGAGGATCCCGTCCCAAGGGAGACACCCACCCCATCAGAGGCAGGACGGGCTCTTCCAGCTCCCCCCTTGCCCCCCGTGACCTGCTGGGCTTCCAGTCACAGATCTCAATCAATGTGGAGGACTGCGAGGACACAAAGGACGTCAAGGAGCACTGGGGCATCAAGACCGGGCACCACCGGAACTCGTGCTCCAGCGACCAGTCGGAGCACCCGCTGCTGCGGCGCAAGAGCATGCAGTGGGCCCGGCGGCTGAGCAGGAAGGGCAACAAGCACTCCAGCAAGACGGCCGAGTGGATCAGCCAGCAGCGCCTCAGCCTGTACCGGCGCTCCGAGCGCCAGGAGCTCTCCGAGCTCGTCAAAAACCGCATGAAGCACCTGGGCTTGCCCACAACCGGGTACGGTAAGTGCCGTGCGGGCGCGCTTCTCTGCGGGGCTGCGTCCCTCTCGTGGGCTCCTCAGGTAACCCCGAGCCGAGCCTAACCCCGAGCTGAACCCAGCCCCATACCAAGCCTAACCCCGTGCCAAGCCTAATCCCCAAGCCTAACCCCGCAGGCGCTGCCGGGCTTGGCTCAAGCAATGCCTCATTCCCCAGCTTGCTTGTTGCTTCCGCTCAAGGCTGGGGTCCCTGCAGCGCAGAGCCCCCCTCGCCTGCCACCCCCATGGGGGGCTCTGGGATGGGTCCAGGCAGCAGTTCGCAGCGGCAAGAGTGACTCTGGCCCCTGTGCCTGCAGCGGGACCAGGTGCCACCGCGCAGCCTTGGGGCGCGATGCCCCGCTTGCCCCCCGCTTTCTGGCGGCTCAGGACACGCTGCCTGCAGGTCAGCTAACCCCTCCTGCCCGAGAAACCCCTAAATGCAGCAGGGAGAAGTGAAGCCCCATCAGCTGGCGCAGACCCCTTTTGTTGTAGACTTGAATCCTTCCTAAAACTTCCATGGAAAACCTTTCGGTAGCTGCAGGGATGAGTGGTTTGCTTCATTGTGTGCGAACGAAACCGATGTCTGGCTGCGACGAGCCTGCATGGCCCCGGGGCATCTGCAGCCCTCAGGGTCCCTCCGTGCAGCTGCATTTCTCGTGAAGCTTCTCACCCGCTCAGTGCTGGTGTCTGTGTCCCCCCACAGATGATTCCCCCCCACCTTGGTTACACCACTGTAGCCTGCAGCTTCCTTGGTTTGGTTTTGCTTTGGTTTTTCCTTTCTTTCTTTTAAGCCATCCTGTGCTGCCGCCTGTTTGCTCCATTCTCGAGGACTGTCCGTCTGTCCCTGCTCGCTTGCAGGCTGGCACCATGCCCTGGCCGGGATGGGAGCCGATTTCGGGAGGCTGGGGGGGGGTTATTCCTCCTCTCCCCATTCTGGCTTCTCCCTTACAGCCCCTGAGGTACATGAAAGAGGGGAGAAAATGTAAAGAAACACAGCACAGGGGGGTGTTGGAGTGGAGGGCATACGGCAGCAGGCATTGGCCAGCCCCATAGGGAGCAAGGCTGGAAAGCTGGCTTGCGGCAGGGCAGAGGGGCTCAGGGCACTCCAGGCAAGGGCTGGCAGTGGTTTATCCCCCTCCTCTCTTTTGTTCCTACATTATGAGTCCCAGAAGCTTCTGCTGCTTTTCCTAGGGAACTTCCAGCTCCCTGCAGCTCTGTTGCAGAGTCTGGAGCGTGGCTGACACCATTCACCGCCTTAAGAGAGCTGTTTCACACAGTGTGGGAAGCTGGGGGACAGGGAGCGCTTGAAGCACAGCCCATGCGCCTGAAGCAAGAGCCGCTGTGCCCCAAACACAGGCAGAGGGGAAGGCAGAGGCAGCTTCTCTGCCTGAATGACTTCAAGTGAGGATCCCGAGGGGCCGCCTGCAGCCAGCCCGGCAGGGATGCTCCGGCTGGGTCGGTGTTCGAAACTGCGTCCTTCTCCTGGCCTATTTTGGTTGGAGCAACCCAGGGAAGCTCCAGCAATCGAGGAGGCGGCGGAGGGGCGGGGGGAGATGCAGGACCCGTCTCCCGTCGGGATGGGAGGGCAGTGCCTGGCCGGGATCGGGGCGCTGGGCACAGCGGGGGGACCAGCATCTCCATAACCCCTGCGGCACAGCTCGTCTGCGGCCGGCTGTGCTGGGATGTGCGTTGTCACCGTGTGTCACCGTCAGTGTCTGGACACCCATGGCGTTTATGGACGAACCCGTTGCTCTGCCTTCTGCTCCTTTCCGTTTTCTTTTGCTCATTTGATTGCTGCAGTGCAGGAGCTCGTCTCTAATATTTGCCGAACCATGGCTTGCTGACCTCTCTCTCTCTCTCTGTTTATGTCTGTGCCTTTCCCTGTATGTTCTGTAGAGGATGTAGCAAATTTAACAGCCAGTGATGTGATGAATCGGGTAAACCTGGGATATTTGCAAGGTAATTCCCTTTCCCTGGGAGTCCCGCGTGACTCACGGCGTGCAGCGTACAACAAGATCATGCCAGCTAAGCCCAAACCACACACCCCTGCCGGTTTTCACCTTAGATCCCCGAGCCTTTCAAGCACTGATTTGTTTGTTTCGGAAAACAAAAGCCCGAACGGAGGCGCAAACTGGGCTCCACAAAGCCGTGGAGATAAAAGCCTCAGGGACCCTTTTCTAGCTGAGTTCTTACAGGGAAATCACAGCCCGAGGCTGTCATTAAAAGAAACCCTCCCTCCATCGCTCTGCAAGTTGGTTTTGGTCTGTAAAGCCAGGGGCACCTTGAGGAGGGGGTTTGTGGGGGGCTGAGCACAGCGGAGCTGCTGCTGTGGGCTCTGATGAGATGCTGCACCAGCCCCTTCTCCTCTTGACCCCACATGGGTCAGGCACAGCTCAGGGGCCAGGCAGCATTCGGAAAGCCCTTCACAATCCTTGCCTTGTGTTCTTTAGCATTAGCAAACCCTGTTTTCTAACCCAGGCAGCAGCTCTCACAGGCACTGCCCATGCTGCAGCCACCCCAAGCACCTTGTTGGTGTCTGCAGCGTTGTTGCATCATTTACACAGTGTAAAGGCACTTAAAGTGGTGTAAAGTGCCCTGGAAAGGCCCCATTTGACTGCAGCAATTAGAGGTTAGCAATAGCCCATTCTTGCTCTATTTTAGGCTTCACGAACCCGTGCTTAAGGTGAAAAGTTGGCATTTTCCTATGAGCTGTCCTTCATCAGAGCAGCAGCCCCAGCCGGGGCTCATGGAAGCCCCACGCCAGCACAGTATATTGCCAGCAGGGTGGTGGGTGCTGGGCAGAGCTCGGACCCCGCTGGCATCTCCCCATCCTGCAGAAGAGCTGGGGCTGAGTGAGCACCACAGAGGGTCCAGCACCGTCCATTCACCCCAAACCAGGAGCCCCCATGGGTGAACACCAGACGTTGTGGCATCACTCCCGGTGCAGGAGCTGGAGCTCAGCGCTGGCTCCCCCCCCCCCCCCCAAATAAACCCAGTGATTGCTGGGCTGAGCCCCGCCGCTGTGCCGCAGGGGACCCCATGGCAATATACTTGGTGGGTTCAGCAGTGCCTGGCTTGGCTGCATGGGGGTCAGGAAAAGGTGCTTCCATGGAGCAGGGAAACCTGCCGCGAGCCAGGGCCCGTCCCACCTCCCTCCTCATGTCAAGCCCCCTGTGTCCCGCCGGGTCCCAGGGTCTGTGTGTGCCACCCGCACCCCAGCATCGCCACCCCCTGTCCCCGCCTCGCTGTAAGGATGAGCACTGGGATGGACAAGGCTCGAGGGACCGGCTGGTACCCAGGGCTGGACCAGCACCCTGGTACAGCATCTCCCTGCGGTGGTCCCATCCACCATCAGGCAGCTTCTGTGGGCTCGGAGATGCTGGGAGGTGTCTGAGCAGCAAAACAAGGGTCTCATGTCCCCCTGCAAACTCTGCCGGGTGCGGTCCAGCTGCAGGGATGCCCTGGGACCCATCTGGACATGCACTGGCCAAATACATGTGGGGGCCTGTTTGCATCCCTGTGCAGGGTGCCGGGCCTCGTGGCTGCAGTGGCTTGAGCTCATTGCACAGCTATAGGCAAGCCCTATTTCAGAGATTGCACCCCAGTCCTGAGGCTGAAGAGCACCTGGCTTGGCCTCTACCTTGTGCCTGGGGTGATCACGCACCCATGGGTGCTGTTATGGCTGGAGACTCATCCTGTGTCCTGCTGTGTGGTGTGCAGGGGGAGAGCAGGGATGGGGTGGTGGGAGCAGCTCCTCTCCCAGTGGCCACTTCCTGGTCCTGCTGCCACCAAACTGAGCCCCAGTTGTCTGAGACCAGCAACCATCGGCTGCGCACCGATGCTGCTCAAGAGGGACCCTTCTGACAGCCCAAGAGGTGTCCCAGTGACAGCCTTGCAGCGAGCTGGTGTCCCACCGTGCTGCTCATGCTCCCCTGGCGTCCGTCTGTCCATCCCCTCTCCATCCTGTCCATCCACATCCATCTGTAAACGGTGGTCTTTGTCGCAGCTCCCCCCTCCCCGGCCGCCCGCAGCCTTGCACCCCCATTCATTTCACCTATGATCTTGTTCTCAGCTATTTTGGAAAGCACCCCCCCACCCCACCCCTGGCCCTGGGGCCACCCCTTTGGCCCTGCAGCACCCATGGGTGGCCCTGAGCCCTTCCCCGGGTGGTCACTGTAGTTTAGAGCCATCCCCGAGTGGCATCGATGGCTCTGGAACCCCATGGAGGTGGTTTCCTTTGGGCAGGAGAAAGAAGCAGTGATTGAACTAAAACCTGTTGCTGGATGATGCTAAATTAAGTAGTGCAAGAAGGGGAGAAGCGGGCAGAGCGGCCTGGGGGGGGTTTGGCGGCCCTGAGCCAGTGGTTGGACTTGTGCTAGACCTAACGTGGCAAGACTAACCTGTTCCCTTTCTTGCACTAAACCAAGGTAAGAAAACTTACTTTTTTATGGGGGAAAATAGGGACTTTGGAGAGTTACATCTGCCAGCCATGCGGCTGGGGGGCAGTGGTTGGGGAGGCATGGAGGGAGGTGGCAGCAGTGTTCTTGGTGCTCTTCCTGTGGCAATGCCGTGTGTTGGGAATGAGCTGCGATCCCTCAGAGCCGGGTGCTCGGGGATGCTGCAGTGGGGCTGTGGGACCGAGGCCATGGGGTGTCCCTCAGGGCACCCCTCACCAGCCCTGTCCCCTTGTCTCGCAGATGAGATGAACGACCACCAGAACACGCTGTCCTACGTCCTCATCAATCCCCCTCCAGACACGCGGCTGGAGCTCAACGACATCGTGTAGGTGTTGCTTCCATCCCTCTTAGCCTCCCCCTGTGTCCCCAGACCTGCCCCAGCACCATGGCCTGCCCCATTGCATTGCTTTCATCCTTCCTCATAAAGACCAGTGGCGTTTTGCCTCCCTTCCAGGCTGTCCCCGTTCCATATGGTCCCAAGCAGTGCCCAAACTGCCCCAGCTTTACTCATCACGGTTCTGACTCTCGGTGTGAAGGTTTTCCCTCGGCTTTTGCTGCTGTGCAGCAGAACAAATAACTCTTTATTGTTGAACACAGCCCCATGGCACATCCCCACATTTCCCAGCCTTGAGGATGGGCCAGACCCCAGTTTAGTGGTTGCACAGCTCCCTGGTGCTGATGGGGAAGTTGGGGGGGGGGTTCCATTGATGTAACCAAGCTGTGCCCCACAGGTACCTGATCCGCTCTGACCCCCTGGCCCACGTGGCCAACGACGGCCACAGCCGCAAGAGCAGCTACAGCAACAAAGTGGGGCCCTGCAACCCCGAAACGCGCGACGAGACCCAGCTCTGAGCGGCCCCTGCCCGGGACAGGGTGAGGATGAGGACGGCGGCCGAGGGGAAGGCGGCTGCTGCTGCTGCTGCCCATGGGTGCCCCGGGGGACGGTGATGCCCAGCCTGGCCGTGTGCTGTGCAAGGGGTGCCCAGGCCCCGGAGGGATGGCACGGACGGACGGACACCCGCAGGCACCCCGTGGCTTTTAACTTTTTATACCAATACCGCAACTAGTGAGAAAGTCTTCGCTGGTGCTGGTGGGACGTGGCTGAGACCCGACGACAAACGACCCTGTGAGAGCAGGAGGACTGTGCTTAACGTTACCCGCCCCGATGGTGCAGGTTGTTTGCATTTGATGGGGTTTGTCAATACAAGAGCAAAACTGCGCCAAAACCCTTCCTCCTTCACCGGGGATCCCCTCGGGGTACCCGAACTTCTCTTTCACCCAACTCATGTTCTTCACCCTCTGTTGGCTTTCTGTTAAGGCATCGATGTGAGGAGCACTCGGAGCTGTGCCAGAGGCAGGGGAGGATGTGCTGGCGGCTGTGGGATGGCTGGAATAGGATGGAACACGGCCATGCAGCTCCTTCTGGTGCCATGGCAGGGCTGCACTGCCTCCGGTGCACCTTAGCCTCTCGCAAACCAAACCAGGTGACCGAACGCCAATTGCCATCCCTATGGCAATGCCTCTTGCCATACGTGCCCAGCTCTAAGCCCAAGCCCTGGCTGTGGGCACCGTGCCCCTGGGTTTGTGTCCCCCATTGAGCTCATCCCCCATTGCTGCTGCTGTTGGAGCTGGGCACTGATGCCCGGGGATCCCTGTGCTGGGGTGGGATGGGACAGGCTGGCCGGGAGCAGGCACTGATGGGGTCAGTGTCTCAGCTCAGCCCCTTCCCCTCCTTCCAGGGGCAGTTTGGGGCCTGACACCCGCTCGGCTGCACAGCCTGGGTCTGAATGTCCCCCCTTCCCTTCCCATGGGGCATGACCAGGGCCACCATCAAGGCAGCGGGTTCTGCCTGCGCCCCCCTGCCCGCTGCAGCTCCGTCCATCCTCGCTCCACTTTGCAACCCAGCAACAGCACGTGTCTGCAGCAGAGGTGCATGAATGTACAGATCACCACCAACCCGAGCCCCAGAGCACTGCCTTATGCTGGCCCACCGCTTCCGACTGCACCCGCGGAGACCTCCCCAGAGCAGAGACACCAGATGCGTTTTCCGTCTGTTTTGGCACACTTGTAAAGGTTCTCTTTGGCTGCCAAGTGGATGACTGACTCGTTACCTTTCCAGACCGTTACTTGCATAGGTTAAAACTCCAATGTGCTTTCTTTATTTTAATGAGAAGCCTGTAAAGCACAACGTTGCCATAAACGCCCATCAGCCATCCCGGACCTGCTGCCAGCTGAATGGTTTGGTGCCATGAACGTTTGACTCCTGTTCCCCCATGACACTCCCAATAAAAGCTGTTTACAAAAGCAAACCAAAAGCGAACCACAGATACCTGTTTGAAGTTGCAGTTTCAAGCAGTTGTGAGATGATCTTGAGGGGATCCTATTTAGTTCTTTGTTATTTGGTCCTGATGCGTTGGTCATGAGGCCCTGTGTGACCTGCACTGGGGACCATCAGCTGATGGTACATCATGGGCTTGGAGAGGCACTGCAGGTGAAAGCAATGAGCCCAGCCCGACCCTTCTGCTTCATTTTGGTGTGGGCACAAATCACACTGCCTCTGATGGGGGTTTTTGGGGTTGTTTTGGGTTCTTTTTTCAGTTATTGAGGGTTTTAAGCTAGATGCTGTTTGACTTATTTCCATTTGCAATGCAGCATGCCAAATGTATCCTTTGAAATAAAGATGTTCTTGTAGGCTGAAGAAGAGAGCGAAGGACAAAAGCACACCCGGGGGCTGTGTTAAAGGCCTCATCACTTATTGCTGTATTTAATCATCCAGGTTACAGCCAGTGATTTTCCAGTCCCCACTTTGCTCTCAAGGGAGTGTGGAACAAATATTAAGGGTTTAGAAAACCCCAACCAACCAAGCACCAAACCCCCAGGCAGAGTGGGTGCTGTGACTGCTCACAACATCACAGGTTTTAGTATGCCCCATCCCTGGCAGTGCTCAAGGCCACGCTGGATGGGGCTTGGAGCATCCTGCTGTAGGGGAAAGGGTTGGAGCTGGATGAGCTTTACGTCGCTCCCAACCCAAAGCAGGCTGATTCCATGATCTTTCTCTCTGCATTTGACTGGCTGCTGGTGGGACGGGCTCTGTAAGTGCTGTGTTCTGCAGCTAAACCCAGCCCTGAAACGAGCCAGCCCCGAGCATCCAGGTCAGCCACACACACTGCTGGGTAAGTGGTCCCCATTCCAGAGCCCCCCCAGCTGCACATGGGTGCCACACAGGAGCTCAGCTTTAGGCACCTCCTTCTCCATGGGCACTCTGAATTCTTACAGACCCTGAATACAAGGAGACCATCAACCTAAGAGGAAACCCGCGAACCAAAAGCAGTCTGAACTCCCTCTGGTTTGGGATACTCTTCAATAACAGCCCTCAATCCGACCATATTTTGACAATGCTTCTGTTTTTGTCCAAGGTATAAATAGCTGTATTTAAACAGAAAGCTACGTGTATAAACCCTGGGCGGTTTGCAGACGTTCTTTCTATGGTGTACATTTCTAGCAGGCATTCCCTGGGATGTTGAGCTCCATACTGTAGATACTTGCCTGGGGTCAATGCGAGTCAGAGCAAACGTTTAATTTTTCTAATTCTTTAGATCAGCTCCAATACTAATGTAAAAAACAGAAGTATTTTATTTTTGTAACGGGCCTGGGAATGCTGATGCATCAAAAGGAGCCGTTTCTGCTGGCTTGGAGGGGGCCAGCCCCCGCCCTGCCCTTCCCACAGGGACACTGAGCTTGGAAGAGTAGGATTTACTGAAGGGAATGGTTGTGTTCCACCGTGGAGATGTGACAGGCCCTGGGGGGAGGCAGGAATGAGGCTGGTCGCAGTAGTTTCAAGTGTCGCAGCAAACGGCTCCATCGCATGTTACGTGTCCACTAACGGTTTCCTACACTAAATATGGACTAAATCCATATATCCTGCATTAAAATTGAATATTAAACCAAATGTTAGAGTATATTTATTTCCTGTTACACCCCTTTTTACCTCAATCTGTACAGAACATGGCATCTTTATGGGCCCTGGGAGACCTCTCATCTCTCCGGGTCAGCTCACGCAGGGATATTTATCAGCAACAGCCAATATAGCTCCTTCTGAGCCCTGGTCCTGTGACACGTTCTGCTGGAGGCACTGCAGGAGAGGGTTTTGTACAATGACTGTGAAGATGCTTCACGTTTCTGTAAAGACAATGAAAATAAAAGAGCTGCATGCAGCACCCAGAGCCTGCGTCTCGTTTTGGTCTTGAAGTGAACTTCATCTTACAGCCCATGGCAAGATGTGGCTCTAGAGTGCCAAAGGCCTGACACATATGAGCCCGTGCTTGGGGTCATCTCGTCCAGACCTTTTCAACCTCAGCTTTCTACTCTCTTGCTCCATTCATGCCCAAAAGACACGTCAGATTTGCTTCCTGCTGTGGTACAGTAACAGCACAACATCCGAACCACAAAACCCACTGCAGGTATCATCCTGTGACTGGTCCCAGCCCTGCCACCCTCAGCCACCCCAGAGCCTGCATCTCCCTGAGCTGATGGAGTTAAATGTAGACCCCTGATTGATTAACTGAGAGCTGTTGAATTGGGCACCTCATCCCTGGCAATGCTCAAGGCCAGGTCAGATGGGGCTTGGAGCAAGCTGCTCCAGTGGAAGGTGTCCCTGCCCGTGGCAGGGGTTGGAGCTGGGTGAGCTTTAAGGTCCCTTCCTACCCAGTTCTGTGATTCTCTTACTTTACACTGCGGCCCCAAACCCCTGATTGTAGCAAGTGGAAACTCCAAAGAGATCACCAGTTTCTCTGCTGTTAACTCTCCAGTGTAGCAGGGAGAAATCGAGCTTCTTTTGTCTGCACACTCAATGTTCTGGCAGCCCCGTGTTGAACTGTATGGGGGTTTTCAGGGTAAGTGCTTTCAGCTCAGATTATTCTTGAACCCTGCCTCAGAGCATGATGGAAACGTGACAGACACTGACTACAGATGCAAACAGCATGTGCAAATACACAACGTGTACAGATGATGCATGAAGAGCTTGGGAAAAGGAAATCACATTGAAGAGCACTTTAAAGATGTACATTTTTGTGTTCATTATGTGTGAGAAATCAAGAGAGCTATTACTCTATATAGGGACTAATTCTCCAGCTCAGAGCAGACACAGTGAGAGCACTGTGGTCCACTTGCAGCGAGCTCTGTGGAAGTCCTACACATTGCTTAGGCACTTCTTTAGTGGAGTAAAACACCACCACTTGCTTTCAGACACCCTCTTCTGCGGCCATAGGAAAAGCTGATGCTGTGGCTGTACCTCAAGCTCCCACTTTTTCCTACCCGAACTCCCAGGAAACACAAGAACCTTTGTGAAGCTGGAGGAGGGTTTTTAGCGAAAGCCAGTTGTTTTACACAGCTAAGAGGGTTCAATTAATCCTAGTGTATCACAAACCAGACAGCTTAAGCTATAGCTTGACAAGTTACTTCTCTTGCTCTGGAGAAGGCACCCAGACACAGCCTAGCACCAGTAACTGCCCAGGCCTTTCACCTGGGAGGGTATTTGTGCAAAGCTCAAGCACTGTGGAAAGGCAAATGTCATTTTCTAAGCAGGGATTTCTAGATGAGTCATCAGCAAGTAGGATGCTGGCACCATTCTTCCATGGCAGCTGCCAGTGCATTGATTCCCACCTGTTCTTGCATGGGATGATCTTCAGTCATTGACAGTGCCACTGTCCTACAACCACATTTTACCCTGGGCTGACAGCAGGCAGTGAACACACTGAGGTTGACATTTAGATTATACAAAACCTATGTGAGAAAATGAGTTCTCCCTGCTCCAAAACACTGCCTTTGCCTACACACATCTACAGGTTTCCCCACATTCCCCTGCACACTCACCCACAAATTCTACGTTATCTTCTTACAAGCAGCTGTCTCTTCCTGTTTCCAGGCTAAATTTACAGACCATATTCCTTGCCAAGGTATTTGAGATTAATGCTTTTTTTTTTGATAATTAAAATTTAAGATTATTCATTTTCCAGAGAATTTTCTCTCTTAGAAGGTGACTTACTCCTTTACTTCCTCTACGATCCTCAGCTTGGCACCTGGGACTATACCCTGCCTACCGATGAGCTCCTCTCCCTGTCCAAATGGATGTCACATCCTAGTGCTTCCAGTATTAAACAAAGCCACACTGCAGCAGGAAAAATCAGGACCTGATCCAGCACAATGACATCCAGGAGGACGCCTTCTCTTCCAGTCCTTTCTACAGGCAGCGAGATCTCAGCCTGAATGAAATACAGTAAAAAGCACTGGGATCACTGATTCATTCTTTTTTCAATCTACACACAGGGATTAGCTGACTGCAGAAGATTATTGTACAGTCCCAGAAAATTATTCCTGCCCTAAAAAAGTCTATAGCCTCGAGAATATAAATTTCACTTCTATGCAACTCGGATGCATTATGACGCTTCAACAACCGGCTCACTTCCAGATTCTAGAGGCAACTTGTCTTTACAAATCACAAGCAAGCTAATACCGAAGCGCCCAACAAAAGAAATTCTCTTAATGCTTCCAAACCTCTGTCACTGACTCCACAGATCAAAGAAAACCCACCAGCCAGATCTGAGAGTCTGAAGTGATGACATAAATCCTCACTGAGACTGTCAAATCACTTTCCAGTTGTCTGAAAGCCTTTTGGCCAAGTTGTTGCACGCTGCAATCAGGGTCAGGAGAATGAAGCTCTTGTCATGAAGTTATTACAGCTGCTTACAGGTGAAGCACAACCGAACACAGAGCAGCACATCTTTAAAGCGCATTAGTTCTTTGAGGGGATGAGGTGTCACAACAACAAAAGTACACATGAAATAAAAAGGAAATCAGTTAATGGTTTTTATTAAATTTCAGTGTTTCATAAAATAAATATGGTATATAATATCAAACAGTGAGAAATAAAGCACAAGCATGGAAAGCATGGTAACAAAAGCTACACTCATGACTGTGTTTAATACTTAGCACTTTAGAAACCATAAAGCCTTTAATTATTTACAAGCAGCAAACTATCTAACATAATTTACAAAGTTGCAGCAGCCTAGTCAAGGAGTACTGGAAGGGGAAAAGTAAAATGGAGAGACCGCAATGGAAGACCTTCACTTTGCTCTATCTAGTCAGCACTTTATTACGTACCCTATTTTCCCCTTATGTACATAACTCTCTATATCTTCCATTATTCTCAGAGCTTAATAACGTCTTGTAGAGCTCAGTTCACCTCTAGGATGGTGTAGTGCCTTTTGCACTGAAGAGATACGGATTCAAGTAACACTTCAAATAAAAGTAAACATGTGCAAACCGAA